AGTAACTGTTTATAAGTTAATCATGGGGAACTGTCCTGTTTCCAAATAGTGATTACTTAATTTTTTGAGATGCCTCTACTATGTAAATTAGAAATTAATTTTTTAAGTTTGACTCCCAAAATATCTGATTTAGTGACTTTGTAGTACATTCTATTTTATGCAGATCAAGCATTTTGCTATTATTGATTGTTATTTCAGTGAAATATTTCTCCATATTGCTCACATATATTGTGAAAAAAAACTGTATTTTGATTTATTCACTATCTTCTTTGTTCTAAACCTTTTTACTTGGTGGTTAATTTTATACAAACAGTGATACTAGTGCTTATTAGGAATTGTTTCTTTATGCATCTCAGTCTTATCCTTTAGTGTCCAAAAGTTCGTGAGGCATTTCTAAGGGGATAAAGGATTTCCCATCTTTATCTATTCACCATGTGAGCAGTTCCAGTGACAAATGAATTCTGGGCAGTGAATCGAGAAGGACACAGATGTCAAAGCCATGAATTTATAAATGGTCTGTTAAGAGGGTGCTTTTGTCCAATCAGCGCTTTGTTAATTTCACCTACAGGAAGGAATAATTATTCAATTATAGCTTCTATCTAACAAAAATCAAATGAAAAATGTGTCAGAATGTGAAGGTGAAGGGTTAGTCAGGATTCTGGCAGGTGGTCCAAGATTTTAGCCAACTGTGAGGAGGTGGATATAGAACCAAATTGACCTATAACACTGATTACAAATCCTTATGAATATTCATAGGTCATACTAAACTGAAAGATATAATTTTATTTCAAAATTCTAACAATGCAAAACCATGATTTTCTATATTTTTGTGAAATATAATTAACTTGAAAAATATACCTCAACACTAGAAAAAGTATAATCATGTTTTTCTTTTGCTTGTTTCTTCTAATTACCAACGGTTTCAGAACTGTTTTATTACTTTGTTATAATTTTTCCTTATGAAAAAGTTGTCTTTATTTCTTAGTGGTATTACTAATACATAATATTACTTAATGTAGAACCAGAGATAAGCAAGTTTTTTCTATAAAGGGCAAGATAGCAAATATTTTCAGTTCAGTCCCAACTATTCAACTCTGCCTCTGTAGTTCAGTGTAGCCATAGACAATATGTAAACGAACAATCATGGCAGTGTTCCAATTAAACTTTATATACAGAAACCAGCAACAGGCTAGATTTGACCATGGACCATAATTTGTCAACCCTGAGATTGATGGCATTTAAAAACTCCAGTAAGATTTTTTTTTAATATTCTAAAATAATAGAACTTTATAACTTGTGTTAAGTAACTTGAATGTCTTCACTGCACAACTCTGGAGAATATTTTGTTCCCATAAACTACAGTGTGAATGACACTTCCTGAAGCAGTTCAGTTTGGTGGCCCTGATAATATTCCTCATCCATTTCTCCTAATTTATATCAAAAGTAGCTAACCTGCTGCCTGTTTTGTAGATAAAGTTTTATTAGAACACAGCCATGCTCATTTATTTACATATTGCCTGTGGCTGCTTTGTCTCTATCAACAGCATAAAGTGGTAGTTTCAACAAAAACCATATGGCCCACAAAACCTGAAATAGTAACTTCATAAAAAATGTTTGCTGACCCTTGACCATACCCCTTTTTGTTCTTCTTTAATGATTAAATTATAGGGCATAATGTAGGAAACCTTCTATGATTATCATTAAGCCCAACAAAGGATGTATCAAGAAGTTAGCCACATATCTAAAGGAGCTTCAGAATTCTTTTTTTTTTTTTTTTTTTTTCTTTCTTCATCTTAGGGATCTGGTTCAGGAAACTAAACATACTTCCTTATAGCTGACCTTCCTGCTGAGTTAGCATTTTCAATAACAAATCAGTTTCTTTGAGGAATTTGTTATCAATCAGGAATTTAAACTGAATTAAGAGGCTTTACTTGTTAGTGGAGGAAGGGGAGCATTTATACAACACTGGACTTCTGGTCCAGTGCAGCTAGCCTACCTTCCTCACATGCCTATCAGGGAAGACTTGAGAAACTTCTTATCAGTAACAACACTAGGTATTTTTTCTGGGTTTCTCACACATTAGGTTTGGAAGCAGTAGCTAGTAGATCTTATCATGTCCTGGGCCTTAGTTGAAGGATAATTTATTGCTGCTGTCTTTGAGTAATAAAATTTCCAAGGTCATAGATAGAAACGTCAGGGAGAAGAGAGGGTAATTTCTCTACTGTTTACATCTGAAGGTTAGTTAATAATCACGGGATTGTTTTTGACTGACGTTTTATGTTGTAAAATTCTTTACTTGTTATTAGTAGAGCATTTCTTCCTGATTCACTCTTTTTTTTTTTTTAAGTTGGAGTCACTCTGTTACCCAGGCTGGAGCATAGTGACATACTTGCGGCCACCACAGCTTCTACCTGCTGGGCTCAGACGATACTTGTGCCTCAGCCTTCCAAGTAACTGGAACCACAGGCACACACCACCATACCCAGCTAATTTTTTGGTTTATTGTAGAGTTGAGGTCTTGCCAAGTTGCCCAGGGTGGTCTCGAACCCCTGGACTCAGGCAGGCAATCCTCTGGGCTCAGGCTATCCTCTCGCCTCTGCCTCTCAAAGTCCTGGCACTACAGTTATTCTTAACTCATAAAACACCCTCTGGGTTCTCTTCTTACTTCTGTAGCCGCAGCTTCTCGGTCCCCATTTTTTTCTTCTACACGTCCCTTCACTTCTAGTACTCACGAGGAGCTATCCTCCCTGGGTCTTATGAACTCCTGTTCCTTTGTTTCCATTTGTGTGTTCTGGTGTCCAAATTTGTATGTTGAACCCAGATAATCTTTTTTGAATTTTAGACCTGTGTATTCAACTGCTTATTATATATTTTTATCTGTTTGTCCCATAAGCAGTAACCTCTCATTTTCCTTGTCTTTCTTTTCCTTCCTTCCTCCTTTTCCTTTTCTTTTCTTTTCTTTTTTTTTTTTTAATTTTGAATTGGTGGTCTCACTTTTTTTTTTCTCTCTAGAGACAAGGTCTCGCCAAGTTGCCCAGGCTGATCTCGAACCCCTGGGCTCAGGCAATCCTCTTGCCTCCACTTCCCAAAGTACTGGGATTACAGGCGTGAGCCACTGTGCCTGGCTAGTGGTCTCACTCTTTTGCCCAGACTGGAGTGCTACAGTAGCCAGTCAAAGCTCATTGGAGCCTCTACCTTCTGGACTCAGGCGCTATCCCTTTGCCTTATCCTTCCAAGTAGCTGGGACTACAGGTCCGTGCCATCAGACCCAGCTAATGTTTTTAAAAATTATTAGTATTATTATTGTAGAGGCAAGGTTTTGTTATGGTGCCTAGGCTGGTTTCAAACTCCTGGGCTCAATCAAGCAATCCTCCCTCCTTGGTCTCCCAAAGTGCTGGGATTACAGGTGTGAGCCACCATGCCTGGCCTCATATTCCTTTGGAATCTACCCACATCTATTCCCTATTATAATGGTTAGTAACAAAATCTGTGCAGTTACTAAAGCTAAACATTATTGACTTTCTTCTTTACCTCCACAGCCAATGAGTCTCAAAGTCCTGTGAGTTCTACCTCACATATCTCTTGAAAACCTCTCCTCCTGTCCTTCCTGCAGCCATCCCCCACTTCAGATCACCTGGATTATTGCAACTATCTCTTAGTTTTTATCTGATTTAGTCTTGCCACCTTCTCCCATTCATTCTCCACATTATATTTAGATGGTTTTTCTAAAACCAAAATCTATCCATGTTGCTACCCTCTGTAAAATTTTTCTCTGGATTATCATTATTCTTAGAATAAAGTCCATCTTACTAATTTGCTGTACTCAGCCACATGTTCTCTGGTTCCTACTCAACTTTCTAGGCTTTATCTCACTGTTTCCTTCTAGATTGTATGTGAGCCATCCCATCGTTTAATTGTGATCGTTTATGTGCACTGGTCCTAGAATACATTTTCCCTCCCCACTCCAAACTTACTTGAGTTTCAGTTCTTTCTTCTTTCGTTTATTTTTTTATTTTTGTTTTTGAGTCAGGGTTGCACTCTGTTACCCAGGCTGGAGTGCATGTGGCACAATCATGACTCTCCACAGCGTTGACCTGGGCTCAGACAATCCTACCACCTGAGCCTCGTGAGTAACTGGAACTACAGGCATATGTCCCCACACCTGGCTAATTTTTTTATTTTTCTGTAGAGGTGTTGACCTGGTGCTTAGGCCTGGTTTTAACACCTGGGCTGAAGCAATTCTCCTACCTTGGCTTCCCAGAGTGCTGGGATTACGGTGTGAGCCACTGTGCCCTGCCAGTTCTTAAATACCTATTGGCCTGCTCCCCTGCTCCAGCCAAGTCTGAATTAGCTGTTTTTGGTGTGAGCTCCCATAGCACCTTATGTGTTTGTTCCCTTTCTTAATATTTATCACTTCATAATAATTGTACATGTATTTGTTAAAGTTGTCTAACTGTAAGTTTCTTGAGGGTAGGGACATGTATCTACAGTCTCTAAATTAGACTGGCACACACTTGGTGCTCATAAATATTTCTTTTTTATATTAAATAAGAAAGAGTAATAGAAACTAGCCTTCTATACACTATAAAAATCTGTTCTGTGATGCTACTTATCCTTTTAACTGATTTCTTTTTGCATGTTTTTAGATGAATATATGAAGTAAAGATCCACTACTCTTTTAATAGTTGGCACACTTCATTGATACATTCATTTCAGGATCATTGAATTATATGATCCTGTTTTAATATGGACTTCATCATTGGAATCCTTACTTTAAACTTATCATCAGGACAATGGGTATCTTTTTTTTTTTTTTTAAAGAGGCTACAAGATGGATAGTCGTTTTCCCTGATATATACCTTCATTATTCTCTCATTACTGGTGATCCATTGCTTGTAACTCGTACTGGTGGATTTGGTATTTATACTTAGCGTTTAAAAAATTATATTGTGCTATAAAGGGAGATAATGGTTAATTGTTGGTATATTTATTGATTACAGTCTACCCTGACATTTGTACTATCAGCCTTGTAGCCGTGAGTGATGTCAATAAACATGCTGATAGAATTGCTTTTTGGGATGATGTCTATGGCTTCAAGATGTCCTGCATGAAGAAAGCTGTTATTCCAGAAGCTGTTGTGGAAGTTTTAGATCCAAACACTCTTATTTCAGAACCTTGTGGTATTAAGGTAGGTGCTTTACCAATTTTTCTTTATAACAGTACCATTGCCATTTTTCTTAGCTCAGGGTTTGAAAATATATATTGATTTTATATGTTGGCCTTCAGAACAGTAGTCTTCTGATTTTAATAAGTCTAAAACAATTTGAAGTCATAATATTTACCAGTTGACTGTATCATCCCTTTAGAATCACTTCTCTTTATATATTAAAACTCCTTTTACTCAGTTTTATAATCCTTCAGCTCTAACTCTGAAGTGATTGAATTGTTTACATTTACTTTGGCTTAATTAAAGTAAAAAGCCCTGCTGTAGTTTCATTTCTGCTTCATCACCTTCTCCTAACCTTCTTTTAGCTTCTTATTTACAGCCAAATTATTCATTCATGTTGTATAGTTCACACAATTTAACCTCTCCAATTCAAACTGTGTATTTGCCCATGAAGCCAAAGCCATACTGTGTTCAGATTTCTCAGTTAATTCATTTCATGTTTTATTATCTTATTTTTACCATATTAATCTCTGATCTCATTGTGAATTTTTCTGTATTGAATTTACATGGGTCAGCTAATAACTCTGCAGCAAAAAAAATCATTCTGCCTTTCTTAAAAACTCCTTAATTGGTCTGTTTCAGCTATATAATCTAATAAATATGCAGTTGTGTACAGTTCAGTGTTAGGTTCAGGTTATTGTCTTTTTTTTTTTAGTCACATTGTTACTTTCATATGGCATTAATAATTGATCTCAGCCAGGTACGGTGGCTATAATCCTAGCACTTTGGGAGGCTGAAGAGAGAGGATTACCTGAGCCCAGAGGTTCAAGACCAACCTGGGCAACTTGGTGAGACCTCGTCTCTACAAATAAATCAAAGAAAATTGACTGGGCATGGTGCGCACACCTGTGATTCCAGCTACTTGGAAGATTGAAGTGGAAGGATCACTTGAGCCCAGCAGGTCGAGGTTGTGGTGGCCGTGAGCATGTCACTGCACTTCAGACTGGGCAACAATGAGATCTGACTCAAAAAAAAATTTTTGATCTCTGTACAAAATAGATATTTAGTAAATGTTTATTAATTTTCTTAAGTGGATAAAATATTAAGAATTAGCATAGAATAATAAATGTGAAGTTTTTCAATAAGAGCAAGCTGATTAAAATTACATTCAGCTTTTAAGAAAAAAATACAGTCTTCTTGCTGATTATAAGGCTGTTCATTGCTCTGGTCCACTGATAGTAAGGAATTTAAGGTTCTGTGTCTCAGGGTAGGAGTATACAGTTAGAGCCAGCTCAGCCTTGATGCTGAACACAAAGAGGAAAGTTGGTGGGGGTGCTAATTTCTCTCTCTAGTGATCTGTTTGCTTAATGCCAAAAATTGCTCTGAATAAATAATTGAAATAGAAAATGTAGGACTGACAATGAAAGTTAGTCCTAAGTTTAGTCCTAGTTTGACATTAATTTTTTACCTAAGTAAATACAGTTTGTTCTGTGTTCCCTAAACTTCCTGTAAATAAAACTTAACCACATTGTACTTTAAAAATTTTTTCTCGAGCTGTTCAAACAGAGGAGTGCCTCAGGTGTGTAGTTATATGAATTGCACTCACTGGGTTATAACCTACTCATGACAGGTCATAACAGCTTTCCAGCTCACTTCTGGTCAGACTGCTGTAGTTGAAAGGTGATTCTGTCCCTTCTTCAGAGTGAAATGAAGAAGGATTTTTAACCAGGACAGACGGAATGAGAAAATAAAGATATTTCACTATTTTTTTCCCGGGGTAGGATCTTCATAGTTTTGCATTGTTACGGTTTTTTCCTAATAACTAACAAACCCATCTTTATATGCAATTACAGACATGAATTTTTAAAAAAACTTTCTCTTTTCATTAGACTGCATTTTCAAGTTGGCATTTCCAATAAATATATTGTTATCACGCATAATTCATAGCAAGTGGCAGGTATCTCCTAGGTGATTTGCAAAATTATGTTAAGTAGAACACAGAAAAACACTTTTTTTATTTGGAAGTGTTTTAGTATGATTCAGGAAAACTTTAGCACATTAGAGCTATGATTTGATATATACTATTGCTTACAAAGAGTCTAAGTTAAAAAAATTTTATTTAAAGAAAAATTAACCAAAGGACAGTACTAGTGCCCCCTTTAAACTTAGAAATAATCCTAAAAGTTGTGTGTAAATGATTAAAGTTTATGAAACATTGGTTTACAATAATCCTTTCTGCATTAAAAAAAAGAAAGAAAGAATGTTTATCTGGGGTTTGAGGGAGGTTTTTTTTGTTTTGTTTTGTTTTGTTACTATTTTTACTAAATGTTTTCTTCCATTCTTTTTGAATGGATAGCATATAGATTGCCATACAACATCTATCTCAGATTTGGAATTTTCTACAGATTTTGCTCTGAAAATCACAAAGACATCCATGTGCACGGTAAGCTGATTCATTCTTTCAGAAATTTCACTAGCAGTGCATCTGATTGGCAAGCTAATGAATTAATTACCAGACTTGTGATAAATGAAAACGACTATTGGCTCTGACAGTCTGTCATTGCCTCTGCTAGGCCGTTGAACAGATCTGGTTAATAGGTCAGTAGACTTCAAAAAAGTTAGTTTAGTTCAGTAGAAAAAGTATTAGGAAATCCTGTTTACATAATGGTTTTCCTTTATGGAGTCTTCATTACTCCCCATCACATAGTTAAGAGCACTCAGCTTTGTCTTCAAAGACAAAAGTTCATATCCTACTTTTCCCAATAATTCCTGACACACAGTTTAACTGGAAGTAATATATGTTTATTTGGCATAACATTTTATATCCAGATATGCAAAATAATTAAGACACTGATATTGTTACTTTTTTTTTCTTTTTTTTTTTTTTTTAAGTTGGAGTCTCATTTCACTCCATCACCCAGGCTGGAGTGCAATGGCACTCTCCCAGACACCACAGCCTCAGCCTGCTGGGCTCAGGCAATCCTTCACCTCAGCCTTCCAAGTAGCCAGAACTATAGGTGCATGCTACCAAGCCCAGTTAATTTTTTTATTTATTGTAGAGATGAGGTCTCACCATGTTGCCCAGACTGGTCTGGAACCATGGACTCAGGCAGTCCTCTCACCTTGGCCTCCCAAAGTGCTGGGATTATAGGCTTGAGTCACCTCACCCAGTTGATATTGTTACCTTTAAATAATCCACCTGGTATATTGGGAAAAGTGAATGTTAGAAAAGTTGGGCAGATTTGGTTTTATATTTGGTTCTTCCACTTGTTTCTTTGTTCATGTTACTTTGTTCAAGACTATTCAACTGCATTAAGAAAAACTGAGGTAATTCTTTCTATTTTTATGCCTAGTTACACAAATTAATGAGATAATATATGTGAAAACACCTATTAATAACCAGAAATGTTTATTAAAATGTATAAATTTTTTCTCAAATAGTTTCTAAATGATAATGTTTACATTTACCAGAAGACTCAGATTGTTAATAAAATATAGGCCTTTACTTAAAGTATGAACTTATAAAGGTGATATTAACATGAGTATGTATATTTTAAATATTTTATATTTATACTTTATATATTTACTTTTTAAATGAAATAATTATATTGTTTTTTAAATTTAATCATGTTCTTGAAAGTTAAAATTTTTATTAAAAATTATATTGTCAGAAACTGTAAAACAGATTATGGTCATATTAACATTGACTCTTCAGCCTGATTCTTTTAAACATTTTGTTCAAATTGACATACAAAAAACTTTATGACTTCTTTAAAATTGTTTCAGTTCATTTTGATTAAATAATTATTTTACATTCAGTGAGTTTAGCAGTTTGCTTTGATGTTTTAAGGGATTCTTTTTGCAGTTGGTTTTATAATTTTTAAAAGTGAAATATCTAGATTTCCTATTTGTGACTTTGGAGCACCCATTATATTCATTTATTCGATTAATGAAAATAGAAATTTTGTTCTCTTTATTTCCCATGAATTTTGTGATTCTACTTTTTAATAGTTGAAATGATTTTATCAACTGAAATTAGGGGCTGAAGGCCTTTTACTCCAAACTTCCTCTGTTTTGATACTAGTAATTATTGAGAGTTGAAAGAAGACCATCTTGGTAAATGAAAATTGACAAATCTATAGGAGACTTTTTAGATAGAAATCATTTGTCATGTCACCAGTATGATCAAATATTGTTTCAAGGGCCAGACATGGTAACTCACACCTGTAATCATTGCTTGAGGCCAGGAGTTCAAGATTACAGTAAGCTATGGTCACACCACTGTGTGACCATAAAAATATTTCAAATAAATTTCCAGTTACTGTCACGTAATTCAGAACAGAGCAGATGTAAAACTCTAGTGAAGATGTCAAAAAACTATCCTGTGCATATTTTTGAACTTTATATAGATGAGTTTATTTAACTTTCATTGAAATTTTCTTTATTTTCTGGTTTATTGGTCAGGGGTTTGAGTGTCAGACAACAGAATTTAGATCAGCTTATTTAAATGGAAAGGGACTTATTAAAGAGAATAAGATAATTTCTAGATACACTGGGAGAGCTAAAGAAGCAGGCTGTATTTTTGAACTTTTAGAAATGACTCCTGAGCCACACCTTAGAACTAGCCACAAAGCTGCCTGTATTGTAAAGAGAAAGATGGTTCTGCCACTGTAGGCTCTGTTAGCCCTAATAACCCTGGCCCACTCAGTAAGTGTTAGCCAACACTGACAACCCCCTGACTACCATCCTGGGCCCTGGCCATCTGCCAACTCATGCTGGACATTACCTCCTTCCAAATCTTCACTAGGCATAGCTGCTTGGCCAAACTTAGCTCATGTGGAACCCTAACTGTCGGTAAATTTTGGAAAGTAGTTTTAGCAATAATTTAACGCTACAGAAAGAGTTTCCTAACACATATAGAGAATTATTTTCTATTTCCTGTTATTTGGGACAGAGTACAAGAAGCTTTGTGTTAAAAGACCTTCAATGGTCCTTTATTCTGTATATGTAAAAGAATAAAATGAAAAGAAATAAAACAAGTAAAGTCTATTTAATCTAAAGATTTAATCAAAGTTTTGGTACTGAAGAATAATATAAGTACAAATAGGTACTTGCTGTATCTGTCCTTGTATAATCAAATAATTTCCTAAGAAAAATGAATTATACACTGGTATATTATCTTACATTTTTATTCTCAGCTTGCATGGATGGTTATTATGTTAAAGTTTGTCTCGAAATGAGGTGGGGCTGGTGTTTTGGAGGAAGGTGGCAAGAGGTTGGGGTGGACTAACATGTGTCTGGTTAGTGCTGAGTAACAGATTTCTTGAATTCACCTCAAGAGGAATGTATTGTGGCAAGTCATATTTATTGAAAGTACTGAAGATAAAGATATTAGTATTTAGCATTTACTATCAATTAAATCTGATATCTGACATTGTTCTGTCAAATAATTAGTTGATATAAATTGTCTTCCTGTGATGATATATTTTGTTTATTTTTGGCCAATAGTATAGCAGTTGTCAGGAAGGAAAGGGAAAGAGGATGTGTGTAATCAAAATGCACTCTTCCTTAGAGACTGACAGATTTCTGTGATGAGTCACATTTAGAAGATGATCACATCACTCATCCTCTTTGCAGCAGATAGAAAGTAGATCTTTGAAGTTTTCTTCATCCTCTCAGAGTAAGCTTGTAGTTGTTTGATGAGGAGTCTATTTTTCTTGCAAACCTCCTTTCCTTCCCAGCATACTTACTTGAACATGAACCTGACATGACTAAGATTTTATGGACTACTGCTTTTATTCAGTTTTCATTGTTTTTGAGTCCCAGCTATCTACCTGTATACACTCCAGCTCTTTTTGCTCTTTGGGGTGGTGCCAACTCCTTGCTCCTTACCCTCTCCCCTCATGACTCTAGAGCTGTTTATTATGCAGGCATAGTTTCTAAGGTTAATTTCAAATGGATAGATTAGTCTCCCTGCTAACGTGGAAATAATCCATAACAAAGGTATTAAAAAGGATGAGTGCCTAATTGAAACTTTGTTTCCCCTTTTTAATGTCACAGGAATTAGTGAAGATACTGGAAAAAAAAATTATTTAGAGCCTGGTAAGGAAATGGATAAAGTAACTTTGGGGAGTAATGGTAAGAGATTTGGCTTTTTTAGATAGGCAGGGGAAAGTATCTGGGTTTGTACTGCTAAGTATAAACCTTCAGATTCATTTACTGCTTCTTTTCTTTTTGAGTTGAAACTTGAATATATAGCTACAAATTAAGATGGAGGATTTCTCCATTCAGTTAAGCCCATTTTAAATATATGCATAACCATTTATTTCTTAATGAGATTCTACATTTGTGGCCTAATTAAGAAATTAAGGGAAATTGGATTTTTCAAAGTAACAAGCTGCTAAGAATGCCCCTTTTGCATTTAACATCAGTGGCATGTGTGCCATGCTGATAGTGCTTTTGGATCGTTCCTTAAGGTTGTTAGAACCTTTCATGGAAAACATCTTTCCTTCTGCAGTGTCCCCTCACCATACACATGCATACGCCCTCATATACCACAGAAGAAATTTGATAGCATTTTTAATTTAATATTTTGCATTAACAAACTTTATTTTATGTTAGAATTTAACTTGATATCATATTTATGTACAAATGTCTTGAGTCTTGGTTACCTGTGATGGCTGAAGGATAACTTTTCAGTCACTACCAGTAACACATATAGAGCAATTTTCTGAGCCTCTTTTGTACTTTATTGTAGGATACTATTGACAGTTTTAATAAAATTGTCTTTGCTTTTATGATGGAGTATGAAGGTTTAGTTAGTACCTGACATTTAATCTGTCATGTCAGCCTGCTTAACCTTGCCATAAATGAACAATAAAATATTCTTTTTATGGAAAGTTTATAGTTCAAAAGCAAAAGGGTTAAAGCTATAAAATTTAGAAGTATCATGTTTTGTCTTGTGAGTTCTAGTTTATTTTTAATGTCATTTGTATAACTGTAGTGTTCTTTGCTCTGTGTACCAGTGGCATCTATATTGGAACTGTCTCTAAGCTCCTGATAGGTATAGAAAAGCATCCCCTTTGGTCATCCTAGGTATACATTAAGTGACTTTTAATAGTACTGTTTATATAACTAATTAGTTGTTTACCTTAGAAATGAAAATATGTAAGATGGTCTTATATTATATGCTCATACGTAAATAATACACACTGAATATCTCTTACTCAAAATACTTAGGGCGGTAAGTGTTTCAGATTTTGAATTTTTTCAGATTTTGAATCATTTAAATTACTGGTTGAGCATCCCTATTCCAAAAATATGAAATCCCAAATACGCCAATTTGTATTTCCTTTGAGCATCGTGTTAGTACTCAGAAAGTTTTAGATTTTTAAACATTTTGGATTTTAGATTTTCAAATTACAGATACTCAGTTTATATCTT